ATGACGTGTATGAAAAGGTTGAATATATGAATGATTTTGAATAGCCATGAGAATTAATAGTAATAATTTGAGTTAAAAGACGATTAATTGAATATACACAATGTATTCAGACGACCAATATATAACACCCTATTAACATATTGCTCGCCTGTAAAAGCAGTTATGCAAATCATAAATCGAAGATATACTACATATATTCAACTATTCACTCTTCATATATTCAGCCTTTTCATACGTCATCCAAAAGTTAGAAATATTAAATTATTTCTCTTTGAAATTAAAAATGATTTTTCATAAATTAAAAGAAACTTATGCGGTTAAACTGGTTGTATAGCTTTATAATTATACGCCGCAGTCATTTATAAGTATTATATGTTGCTATTGATTATCTAAAAATACATGTAGTACAGGATATGATAATATATCATGGTAGTTAGTGATTGATTCTACTAGGAGTACATGCTTACACAACACACATGTTGATGCACACACTCGTAATTGTACATTACTGTACACACACTCGTAATTGAATATCTGTAACTATATTTCATTACATCTTGACTGCATATGATTATATATGGTTAAATTCTTCTTCTTCTTCTTTCTTATCTCCACTCAATCACACTAAGGTATCAAGCTTGTAAATCTTGAGAATTTTGATGGTTTCTGCCGGGGAAGAGTAGAGCTCATCAATGGATAAGTCAATACAGTCAATAATGTGTTTTGGGGTTGCAGGTTGAGAATTGCATTTAGTACATAGTGGGAAAACCCATATGGTTAAATACTATATCTAAATATAAATAAAAAACATAAGGTTTACATACGGCCATTTATATTGATTAAATATATAAAATACACATAAATAATATGATAAAATAAATCCACATATATCCACTCATGGAGACAAAACTTAAGGAAGTTGTACCTTTCAGCATGCATATCGGGATTTAGACAATAACTCTGAAAGGTGTTTGATACGTAGTGACCTTTATTGAAGATACATGGGATAGCTAATTGTGAACAAAATTGCCTGTCTCCTTCAAAAAAAAAAAAAAGAAATAAAAACAAAAACAGACAACCGAAAACATCAAAGGTTTTCTACATCCTTAAGTTTTCTTCATGAGTGCATATTCGTATCTGCACCATAATAGATTTTGGTCGTTTAAAACTTTAATGTAGAGGGTGTCTTTTCTTTGTGTGATTATCAAATTTTTAAGGGGATCTCAAACAATTTGTCGTATAATATCGGCATATTGAATATAAATCGAGCTGTAAATAAATTGTAAAGGTGTGGAAGTTTCGTTGTAACATGTAAATAGATTTTTTTACAGAGGCAAAATCCGCGAGGAGTAGATCGGAGAGAGGAAAGAGAAAGTCCGAGGTCCACCCTGGGAACAACTGGTTTCGATATCACCTAGGTGCTAACTATCCTTGATCATCAAAAGGGAATATCACAAATAAACACTTCTGGTCTCTCCTGGAGATTGTCGGTCATTCGAAGTTTGATATCGAAAGAGAAACCGGCAAATAACGTTTATAAAACACACATCCTAGTTTCTCTAGGAAGTGGTTGCTTATTGGAAGTTGAAATATACAGAAAGAATCTTCAATGAGAGGCCTACAAGAATGAAATATAGATATGTAGTCGTGCTCTTCATATATATATATATATATATTTTTTTTGACTTGTAATATTTTAAAAGTGTTTAAAAACTATAATTTTTTTATTAAATAATGAATATGCAAAATAATAATACTTCACGATGTTTTATTTTAAAATATATGAATAATAATTTGTATTTTTTTTTTATAACTCTGTGACCTGAAAATATAGAAGTTCTATATATATATAATTAGTTCGTTTTAATAGATGTAAAATATTAGCCGCCATTTTAATTTGTCAGTTTGTATTTAAATAAAAAATAATTAATTTGATCAAAAAGGGCTAAGGCTATTTCTTCAAAAACATCTACCACAGATAGCTATGGTCTCTCCAGGATTTGTTCGCACTTTAAAGGATAGTTCAATCGAAAACTTTCTTGTTATCAAGACAGTTTCTGGAGATGAGTTTCGTTTCATTTGAATAAAGCAGTCTCAAGATTTCGGGCATCTTTGCCTTTCTACAGAAGAACATAAACAAACGATTTCTTCAAATAAAAGAGACTTCGGCCAGTAAATCTTTTTATTGTCTCGACGTTTCGACAGAAATATTTTGTCCTCGTCAGGAGCGAACAAAAATTAAAACATTAGGCAAAGCGTTAGAAATTATTCTAAGGATGCAAGGTCGTTCTCATGCGATATTCGAAATTTTGTACAACATCTAAAGCACGATAAACAAACGAATAAAACACCGTTTGATTCGTTTATTTATGTTCTCCTCAAGATGGGCAGAGATTCCCGAATGCTTGAGACTACGTTAATAAAATTTAAAAAAACTCATATCCATAAACATGTTTAAATAAAGTAAAACACGAAGGAATATGAATTTATTTTTGAATTGTAAAAGTGTGGAAGTATCGTTGTAAAGTGTAAATAGATATTTTTTTTACAGAGGCAAAACCCACGAGGAGTAGATGGGAGAGAAGAAAGAGAAAGTCCGAGGTCCACCCTGGGAACAACTCATGCCGAGATCACCTTGATTCTAACTGTCCCTTGATCGCCAATAAAGAATATCAGAAAAAAAAAAGAAAAAGAAACTCATCTTCCTTCGTGCTTTACTTTATTTGATTATCTAAACAGAAAGAGTTATATCGCTTATAAACCTGTTTTATTATTTAATTTATGTTCAGGAGAATTTTTAAATCAATTGATATGGTTTTTTGCTATCACAAATATAGCTGCTCAGAGAAGGGATAATCTATAATTTAGGGTTTCACAGTAAAATATATTTTAGAGAGAGAGAACAGACGAGAGAGCTTCAGTTTATTGTTTCTTTGTAAAAACATAAAATGGGAGGAGTAAAGATTCACCCAGATCCTTATTTGAAATTCGGAAAGCATAAATGAATTTGAATTTATTACACCAAATATTTTCTAAGAAATTGGACAAAGTTTGTTGTGACCCCGAGGCGTCTGCGATAAATTTACATATTTTACAGAGTAAATATGTATATATATATATATATAACAAAATCCAGAAGTAAACATCGATTCCAA